ACTGTGCCAAGCTGTCCATTATGTGACTCTGAGACATGCTACTTCGTTTCTTCTTTGCCTTTTGCCTTCAAGGAAATGTTCCAAGATGCACGCCCGGCATTATGGCTCTCATGTCAATGCTACTCCCGACTAGTCCCCCACCTGAAGAGCAACTGCGAAGCAGATTGAATGCTGATTGTGTCATTCATACAACGCAAAACCTGCTTAACATCAGTGGCACTCCTATAGTTGGAGGCGCCTTCCAACAGCTTCCCCGGGCCAATCGTCAATGACATCATCCGAGCCCACCAAACTGAGACTCACCCACACGCGCTTGCACTTGCACACACAGCGTCCAAATTAATCAAGTAAGCACGGGGCATACATACATGCAAGATCGCTTGATCACAAACATATCCAGAGAACACAGCAAACAAAGTCTGATTCTGAATCTTTACCAAAAACATCAACGGGACAACAGACTGGATTTTCTCAGAAAAGTCCAGAGTACGTGCACAGCACAAAACAAAAACGATGCTGCAAAGGTAACGGCTCCCCAAACAAAAGATAAAGAAAAAAGAATGTTTGGTGGTATTCCGTGCTATTTTCTTGCACGTGGGTTTTCGTCTGCTCTCAGGCTCTTCTTTTTCTTATTGTGAAAGAAGCGGCATATGATAGGGCAGTTCCTTATGCGTTTTTTTTCTTTTGTGCTTTTTTCTTTTTCTGGTTTTGCGGGCGAAGCCGCAACGGGTCATCTAGTCAGACCTTGATTACCCCACACTGCGCCTCCTTCCCTGAAGACCACCAGATCACCCCCTGTACCCCCTGGCACCCAGCAGCCCGGCTATGGCCGCCTGCGCCCCGCTGCCCTGCAGCGCCCCACTTCACCACCCCGAGCCCCGTCAGGGCCCTTGGCAGCAGCGCAGCATCAAGCGATAGCGCAGCAGCACTTCCGCATTGCCTGCACTGGCCAGAATGCCTGGCCTGGACTGCCCTACTCATTTTGTGGAAGTGGCAGCCTCCTGGATGCTGAGTGTGGCCTGGCTGGAAGCTTCCAATAGCTTCCGGTTGGGCCTCAGACTCTGCGCCCAGGCCCGAGACTACGGTTGAGGGCCTGGGCCCGTTACAGTTGGGCACGGCCTCAGTCTCCGGACTTGGGCTGTTTGCTGCATCTGTGCAGGGCTCCCAGGCAGGTGCGTCGGCAGTACTGCTTTTGCAAAGGCCGATGACCTGCTTCCCAATGTATCGGCCTTGCTTTGTGTGTATGTGCCCAGGCACAACTGTCAGGGCCTGGGCCAACTGAATGACGCAGCTTTGTGAGGCTCACGCGTCTATCCAACCAACTGGCGTGCTGCGAGAGCCTGAATACCCACATATGGAAATGTCAAATTTTGCCTCTGACGAATATTCAGGCCCGCCTTCACTTAGGGCGGGCACTCGGCTTGCTGGGGGCCTTAGCCCAGATCATGTGATGTCTGATAGGGCCCCTTGAGGGCTTGTTCCTCACATTTTCTTTTATTTACCTTTTTCTTTGTTTGATTGTTTTCCTTTTTTTGTTTTTCTCAGCAAATCTCCACGCTTGTGTTGTTGATTAGTTGTCTTGCGCCTCCCCCTCCCCCCCCCCGTCTTTTCATGCCGTTTATCTACATCTTCCTCCTCACTCCCTCACTCCCTCACTCCCTCACTCCCTCACTCCCTCCATTCCTTGCCAGGGTGGTCTGCACCCTCGCAATGGTAAATCAATCATACTGCAATAGGTACAGGAAACGTAACGTCAAACAAACCAAATGGTACTGCGAAGGGGTATTAGCAAACAATATAGCAAGTGGAACTCGAACCAAATCGCACAACAAACCATACTTCAAACCGTATATAGCAAACGGTACTGCAAACGGTACAGGTGCAGCAAACGGTACTGCAAACGGTACAGGTACAGCAAACGGTACAGGTACAGCAAACAGTACTGCAAGCGGTATTCCAACCAAACCAGCCTGGAGGTCAGGACTTCCCCAACTATCCGGGGTTGTCTGGCTAGGCATCCCATACACAACCGGGACAGCTGTCTGGCCAGATGGGTTTATCTGACCCGATGCAAATTTGAAGGCGAGTACTGTTTGCTGTACCGTTTGGTTGGAACACCACGTGCTGATTGATTGCAGTACTGTTTATGGGTAGCGGTATCGTTGTTTGCTATACTGTTTGCAGTACCGTATGCAATACTGTTTGCAGTATCGTTGTTTGCTATACTGTTTGCAGTATCGTTTGCAGTATGGCTTGCAGTGCCGTTGGCAGTATTGTTTGCGGTACGGCTTGCAGTTCAGCTTGCCGTATGGTTGCAGTACAGCTTGTTGTATGGCTTGCAGTACCATTTGGTCGGAATACCACGTGTTGTATTGTTTGCAGTACCCCTTAGCAGTACCGTTTGCTGTACCGTTTGCTGTACCGTTTGCTGTACTGTTTGCTGTACCGTTTGCTGTACTGTTTGCTGTATTGTTTGCTGTACCGTTTGCTGTACCGTTTGCTGTACCGTTTGCTGTACCATTTGCTGTACCATTTGCTGTACCGTTGGCTGTACCATTTGGAAGATTGTTTGTTGAAGGAGCTTCCAACTTCAAGGCGTTTCAGGCACATTGCAAAGTGATTGAATTCTCATGGTGCCATGAGAGGGACCCATCTTGAGCCCATGCAATAACTCCAAGAACGTCAACACTTATCATAGATAGGTGTCGGGCTTAAGTTTATTTGCCGTTTGCCGTATGTTTGCAAATCCGTTTGCTGTACCATGTGTCGTACCGCTCGCTGTACCGTTCGCTGCACCATTTGGTGTACCATTTGCTGTTTTCTTTGCAGTACAGTTTAGCAGTACTATACTGCAGTACCGTTTGCTGTACCATTTGCTGTATAGTGTGCAGTACCGTTTGCAGTACCGTTTGCAGTACGGTTTGTGTTGTACGGTTTGCTGCCATTTGCGGCACGATTTGCGGTACGGGTTGCTGTGCTTTTTTGTGATGGAATTCCACTTAGTGTATTCATTGCAGTACCCTATGGCAAGGGTACAGTAAGCGTCCTTTGCCATCCCACTTTCTGGAATGGCTTACCAGCTTGGTGTCCCGGTTTCTTTTAATAACACCCGCCCCGGACAAGGTTGGGACTGTACGGACCAGACGAAGTCGGGACTGGGCGAAGTTGGGACCTCGTCCTGCATGATGATGAGACGGGTTGTGAGCAATTTCGCCGGTGCCAATGTCACACCCCCCGAGCTTCCTCCCAAGTTCACCTTCGCCTTTTCACCACCTACCTACCATTGTACTCCTAATACGAGAGAGGGGTTACTACCTGCCTACCACTCTACACTCCTAAGCCTGTAGTCCTGCTGTCGCGGCTCTATTTCATAGTCCGTTTGCAATTTCTCTTCCAAGCTTGCCAATCCCTCCATTCTGTTAATCGGTTTGTTGTCCAAGGTCCGCCGCTCTCCCCCCCCCCCCGCCGCCCCCTTCAATGTGGCCCAATAGACCGCGCATCAGATATTATACTGATCAGAACAAGATACTATACTTGATTTAGCCTTAGCCAAAAGGCCGAAAAAAAAAAAGAAAAGTTTTGTTTCTATTTTGAATTTCAGGATCCAAGTTTCTGCTTCCTTGGATGTCCTGGTCTTATCGCACACAAGGGTCTGCTTTTTTATTTGGTTTCTGGCTCGTTCTTTTTTTTTTTCCTGGTTTGAACAGGTTTTGTTGCATCTTCTTCGCGCTGTGTATGCGAGGTCGGCCATTGTGTCGCCTAAACATTCTTCAGTTGTTGGCAATGAGGACCAATTGCAAGATGGTTTCATTGCTGGACCGATTCCTCGAATCCGGACAATTTACTTTGAGTCGGAGGATGCCTTTCCACAAATTCAGCAGTTCACGACAGATATGGCAGAGCAGTAAGGCACAGACCATGTCCCCTATTGCTTGCACCCTCCTCCTCGCCTCCTTCTCCCCGCCCCCTTCTCCCCTAGGTTACTCTCTCTCTCTCTCTCTCTCTCTCTCTCTCTCTCTCTCTCTCTCTCTCTNTTTTATTTTTTTTTAAAACATAATAATAAATGCGAGCTTCCTTCTCCTCCTACGGGGGACCGCCTCATATACTAATATTACTATGCTATTTTCTTCTCTCAATATTTTCCATCTCACGCTACCTACCTTGGGCTGTGTATTAGAACTGGTCTACCCGCCTCCTGGCCCTGCAAGGGGCACGGCAACCCAACCAGCAAAGAACCCAGCTCCATGTGCGAAGGCCAACTACAGGGTTTAGGGTCGAAGACTATGCCAACCCGAGCTACACTAAGCCCTAAATCTACTAGGTAAAACTATGCTACACTAAGCGTTATGGCTTGAGCCTAACCCCATGGCACGAACTTCCCTTAACCAGACCACATTTAAGGGAAGGAGCCCCTGGTCCAACCAACCGGGGGGGCGAGCTGTGACTATCTCAGCTGGTGGGTGAACTCCATAGCGTATCTTAGTAATAGACCGCGGGAATTCGAAAGGAAGGCGGGGGGAATCGAACACACGACCTCCTGCATGCGGCTTTCGTGCTCTGCCAACTGAACGAGGCTGCCGGCCCTCTGTTACATGCTGCGCCTGCAACAGGCTGCACGGGCCATTTTCAGGCCCGTGTTGTTTTCAGCCTGAAAGCCTGAAAACAACGGCCTACAGGCGCCGTGTTGTTTTCAGCCTGAAAGCCTGAAAACAAGGGCCTACAGGCCCCGTGTTGTTTTCAGCCTGAAAGCCTGAAAACAAGGGCCTACAGGCCCTTTGTCGTTTCAGCCTAAATCAGGGCCTTTCCGTCCCTGAGTCTTTTCAGCCTGAAACTGAGGGCCATTTTCAGGCCGTCATAAGATCGACCTGCCCTGAAACGTATGCAGCAGACCAGGGTTTTAGCTGAGGCCATTTTTGGCCTATTTTCAAGACAACCTTTGTTTGAGCTTTAACCCCAGGGTCTGGCATGTTTTGGCATTGGCAAGAGCAGCCTCCTGGACCGGCCAGCACTATATAAGACTGGCTCGCCCTGCAGGCTGCAGGTAGTTGCTAGGTAGTTCCTTGGTACTTCCCACGCACTTCACGTGCAGTTCAGGAGGCAGGAGGTAGTCTTCAGGATTCGGCAGCAGCACTCTGGAGGCACGCTGCAGTGGTAGTGGCAGCGTTAGCAGTAGTCTTCAGCGCTGGGCTCCATAGGAGCTAGAGTAGTACTAGAGAGAGATATTGGGCGGAGGCCAGGGAGACTTACCTGCAGCACAGCGCCATCTTCACAGGTTAGTACCTGGCACATGAGAGAGAGAGAGTTCTTCTTCTTCCTCTTTTCAGTCCACCATCTCCTTCTCACCCTCTCACTATCTGACTTCACTGCATCAGCGGACTATGCGCGCGCGCGCGCGCGCGCGCGAGAGAGAGAGAGAGAGAGAGAGAGAGAGAGAGAGAGAGCTTGGTGACATTTGGATCCAGACTCGACATTGTACTTCAGACATTTTGAAGAGGGATTATTTGGGGCTTGTAACGAGACTTGGTGTTGACGACTTTCCCATCTCCCCCTTCCTCTTCTTCGTCTGATCCCCTCCTCTTCGTCTGTGTATGTCTGGACCTGGCGCCTCCTTCCTGTGATGAGGATGATGTATGTTTGGTCTGCGTTGCAACATTGATTGGGCTAGTCATTGGTATTCTAGCATTCTGCTGCGCTGTCTTGCACTACGCGGTAGAGGTCAGTCCCGGTCAGGTCAGGACTTGTATCTAAGTCTTCCCTGCGCTATAAAGCACCATTTTGTATGTATCAGAATGTACACTGCTTGTTGAGATTTCACTTGAATTGTCCATTCAGTCCTTTTTATCACATTGCGGATCCTCGGTTATTATGTACATATGTACATCGCCGAACTGGGCGTGTAACACCCTCTCTCTCTCTGCGCTCTATTTTCTGTGCATCACGAATTTGTTTCACATTCCTCCTTCGGGAGAGGGGAGTTGTTCCAATGGCTCTTTTCTGAAGATTATTTACAACAGGTCATTTTTGACGGAATCTGGCTGGAAATATGGCCAGATGCATCCAGGGATGCTCAAGTCTGAGCAAGGGTGTATCCTTGCCTCTGAGCGGCAATGGGAGGGCATTCTTATGCTAGCTGGCTATTGACTGAATTTGTCTGCAAATATGGTCGGATACATCCAGGGAGGTTTCAACTTCGAGTATGTGCCATCTTTATTGATAAATGGGGATTCAGTGCCATGCTCCATTGTGTGCCTTGCTATGCGCCTAGAGTATGAACCTGGCCACAATACTGGCTAGGTTCATGGAACCTGCGCATTAACATAGCACTCGAGGGTTGACTCCGCACAGTAGTCCCCTCAACTAGCAGCTAATTTCATAGATCTTGAGCATATTAAAATTTAAAGCTCAATAAAAAAACAAAAAATTCAACATCATCTGAGCTCTGTGTTTTTTTTGTTTTTTTTTTGAAGCCTTTTTTAAAGTTTTTTATTAACTTTACGGCTGCCACGGACTAGTGTATAAGCGTACGCTGATCTTTTTTGTGTGTTTTTCTTCCCCCCTCTCCCCCCTCCCCTCCCCCCCCCCCCGAACAAAACCCTTTTTCCTCCCCCTCCAGTCTTATTCCCTTTTGTTTTTCATCAATTTTTTTTTT